TATATATGACCTACATATATATATATATATATACACATATATATATATATAGGTCATATAATCCCTTATGATTATAGAGTAGAGGAGATGAACAGACTCAAAGGACTAGATCTGGTAGACAGAGTGCCTGAAGAACTGTGGACAGAGGTTCATAACATTGTACAGGAGGCAGTGACCAAAACCACCACTGCAAGAAAGCAGAAAGAAATGCAAGAAGGCAAAGTGGTTATCTAAGGAGGCTTTACAAATAGCAGAGGAGAGAAGAGAAGCAAAAAGCAAGGGAGAAAGGGAAAGATATATCCAACTGAATGCAGAGTTCCAGAGAATAGCAAGAAGAGATAAGAAGGCCTTTAAAAAGCAGAGGAAAACAATAGGATGGGGAAGACTAGAGATCTCTTCTAGCAAATTGGATATTTCAAGGGAATATGTCGTGCAAGGATGGGCAGGATAATGGACAGAATTGGTATGGACCTGACAGAAATAGAAGAGATTAAGAAGAGGTGGCAAGAATACACAAGAGAACTATACAAAAAAAGATAGTAATGACCAGGATAACCATAATGGTATGTTCACTCACTTAGAGTCAGACATCCTGGAGTGTGAAGTCAAGTGGACCTTAGGAAGCATTACTACAAACAAAGCTAGTGGAGGTGATGGAATTACAGGTGAGCTGTTTAAAATCCTTAAAGATGATGCTGTGAAAATGCCACACTGAATATGTTAGCAAATTTGGAAAACTCAGCAGTGGCCACAGAACTGGAACAGGTCAGTTTTCATTCCAATTCAATTCAATTCCAACTCAAACTACTGTACAATTGCACTCATTTCCCAGGCTAGCAAGGTTATGCTCAAAATCCTTCAAGATAGGCTGAAGCAGTATGTGAACCGAGAACTTCTACATGTATAAGGTGGATTTAGAAAAGGCAGGGGAACAAGAGATTAAATTGCCAGCACTCATTGTATCACAGAGAAAGCAAGGGGATTTCAGAAAAATATCTACTTCTGCTTCATTGACTCCGCTAATGCCTTTGACGGTGCAGATCACAACAAACTGTGGAAAATTCTTAAAGAGATGGAAATACCAGGCCTACCTCTCTCCCGAGAAACCTGTATGTGGGTTAAGTAGCAACAATTAGAACCTTATATGAAAGAACTGACTGGTTCAAAATTGGGAAAGGAGTATGACAAGGCTATATATTGTCACCCTATTTATTTAACTTATATGCAGAGTACATCATGCAAAATGCCAGGTTGGATGAAGCACAAGCTGGAATCAAGATTGCTGGGAGAAATACCAACAACCTCAGACATACAGATGATACATTCAAATGGTAGAAAGTGAAGAGGAATTGAAGAACCTCTTGATGAAGGTGAAAGAAAAGAGTGAAAAAGTTGACTTAAAACTCAGCATTCAAAAAACTAAGATTATGGCATCTGGTCCCATCACTGTATGGCAAATAAAAGGGGAGAAAGTGGAAACAATAACAGATTTTATTTTCTTGGGCTTCAAAATTGCTGCGGATGGGGACAGCAGCTGTGAAATTAAAAGACACTTGCTTCTTGGAAGGAACACTATGACAAACCTAGACAGTGTATTAAAAATCAGAGACATCACTTTGCCGACAAAGGTCCATATAGTCAAAGTTATGGTTTTTCCTGTAGTCGTGTATGGATGTGAGACTTGGACCATAAAGAAGGCTGAATGCTGAAGAAATGATGCTTTCAAATTGTGGTGCCAGAGGAGACTCTTCAGAGTCCCTAGGACAGCAAGGAGATCAAACCAGTCAATCCTAAAGGAAATCAACCCTGAATATTCACTGGAAGTTCTGATGCTAAAGCTGAAGTTCCAATACTTTGGCTACCTGATGAGAAGAGCCAACTCATTGGAAAAGACCTGATGCTGGGAAAGACTGAAGGCAGGAGGAGAAGAGGGCAGCAGAGGATGAGATGGTTGGATGGCATCACCAACTCAATGGACATGAGTTGGGGCAAACTCCAGGAGACAGTGGACAGGGAAGCCTGGTGTGCTGCAGTCCATGGGGTCGCAAAGAGTTGGACACAACTGAGCGACTGAACACCAGTAATGCACAGAGGGAAGACCACGTGAAGACAGAAGGCCACATACAAGCCAATGAGAGAGACTTCAGGAGAAACCGAACCTGCCTGACACCTCCCTCACCTCTAGCCTCCAAAATGGTGAGAAACTACATTTCCATTGTCCAACCCACCCATTCCATGGTGCTCCGTTATGGCAACCCTAGCAAGCTAATACATTCCTCCAAGTTCATTTTTCTTTTTTAATATTGTTTTGGCTATTTGGGGACCCTTGCAATTCTGTATGAATTTAAAGGTCAGCTTTTCAATTTTACCGCCCAAAAAAGGCCATTGGAGTTTTGGGAAGATCACATAAAATCTGTGCATCTCTTTGGGGAAAATTGCCAGCTTAAACATACTAAGTCTCTCAATCTATGAACATGGGATGTCTTTCTATTTAAATAAGTCTTTGATTTCTTTCAGCTAAGTTTTGTAGTTTTCAGTGTATGAGTATTTCACCTCCTTGAGTTTTTCCCTCTAGGTATTTTCATCTTTGGATGCTACTGTAAATGGAATTTTCTTTATTTCCTTTGCAATAGTTTATTGCTTTTACAGAAACACAACTGATTTTTGTATGTTGATCCTATACCCTATAATTTTGCTGAATTTATAGCATGCAATTTACAGATAATAAAATAGTAAATTTCATATAGCCAGTGGATTCTCACAGAATGTTGTAGTTAATTTCACCAAACTCACGTATCTGTAGCCAAATTGTGGTTGCAACTGACAAACATGTGTTGCTCCAACTTGAATGTCGGTTGATATTTTCCTTCACATTAAAGGGTGAGGTTGAAACCACCTACGCTCACACAGCTTGGAAACTGAAGACTCAAGCCCTCTCCACTCCCCCCAACCCAGCCTACAGTAACAAGACTTCTCGATACGCCAGGCCCTGCATTGAAAGATCTTCCATAAAACAAACTTCTAATTCTTAATGAATTCTGACTTTGCCTCCCCACCTTGACACACAGTAAAATCTGTCGGTGCAGTGGTTTTTTTTACCATGGTGAGAAATAAATTCAGCTTTGTCTTATCAATGGGATATTGGGGTGATATTTGGGGAGTAAGACAAGAAGAAAACAACTAATATATACGTCAAAACATCCTTCAAGAAAGACAAATAGCATGTAGACATCACTTATATGTGGATGGAATCTTAAAAAAATTATATAAATGAACTTATATACAGAACAGAAATTGACTCAAAGACAGACAACAAATTTACGGTCACCAAAGGGGAAAGAAAAGGAGGGATAAATTGGGAATTGGGGATTAACAGGTAAAAACTAATCCATAAAGCTAGATAAACAGTAACAATCTACAGTATAGCACAGGGAACAGTATACAATATCTAGTAGTAACCTATAATGGAAAAGAATTTGGAAAAGAATACATGCATATGTAAAACTGAATCACTTTGCTGTATACACCTGAAACACTATAAATCAGCTTCAATTTTAAAATTAATTGAATTTTGAAAAATAAGAACTTCCTTCACTCACCAATGATGTGAATGACTTCTTTGCTAAATCAGATAATAGTGCTTAAATGTGTGTTAGTCACTCAGTTGTGTCCAACTCTTTGCAGTTCCATGGACTATAGTCTGCCAGGCTCCTCTGGCATTTTTCAGGCAAGGATACTGGAGTGGGTTGCCATTGCTTCTCCAGGAGATTTTCCAAACCAGGGATCGAACCCAGGTCTCCTGCATTGCAGGCAGATGCTTTACTGTCTGAGCTACTAGGGAAGTTCGTACTTAAATACCAGAAGAATATTTCCTTAATTTTTGTGCCATTTGCAATGTAATGGTTACAGACAAGCAACTTTTAAGTTTAATCTGCATTAGTTGTATTTTCTCCATGATTTTCTTATGTCTAGACAATCAACAAAACAATAAGTCAAATTCCAATTTATAACTATCAATTTCTCTGGTGCAAATTCTCCCACCAACATGAGGTCGCTGAACTTGGAGCAGAAAAGAGTTATCATTACATAGTATTTCTACCACATATAATAAACATAATCTCACAAGCACAAGTAGCAAAAGGTAGCAAAATCATTAGGAAGTAATGAGTTTATTACTCTTGCTTTTAATATAAGTTATTTGTTAGTTCATATAATTTAACATTTAATGAGGGCTATGTTTAACAATCAGCTTGCAAATTTCCTGAAAATTCAACAGTTGACTCTCAGAAAGTGACACTAGCCAGCTCTGGCACACCACTAGGATGGACTATAGAGTGGCGTGGGGAAACTTTTGAGGGCGACAGAAATGTCCCATATCTTGACTGTGGCTGTGGCTATAAGACTGTGTAAGTTTGTTAAGATATATAGAATTGTGAACATAAACAGGGTAATTTTGCAGGATGCCCGTTATACTTCAATAAACCTGAAATAAGTGGGTATTTGGGAACAAACAAATTTTCCATAGAATCAGACTTGGGGCCTGGAACAGCACCCAGAGCTACGGGAGAGGCTTCTGCTGCTGTCGCTGAACACAAGGTGGAGGGCCTTGCACCACCAAGGTGGGCAGGGAAGCCCCTGCTGGGACCCCACCCGTGTTGCCACTGGACTCTGGCTGTCTCTCCACCCTGCCCCGACAAACTCACCCACACTGAGCCTGCCAAGTACCTCTGCTCCATCAGAACCCTGTGTCTGCATCTGACTGATGGAGGCGAGAGCACACAGCTACACTGGCTGCAAGGGAGGCTGGATAATGAATTTCACTTTCTTTTTTTTGGCCACACCATGAGGCATGCAGGATCTTAGTTCCCTAACCAGGAATCAAACCTGCACCTGTGCAATGAAAACACAGGGTCTTAACCATGGGACTGCCAAGGTAGTCCCTAGATAGTGAATTTCTGATTTCTACCTTTGTGGAATAAGACTCGTAGTGTGGGAGACACCTTGAACCCAGGAAGAGAGTTACAGAATACAGAATGGCCCCACAAACAAGAAAACTGTCCCCTACAATGACACCAGCTACTGTCAATAGCACGTGACTACGGACACCAGCAACGATGTCATCTCGGTTATTGTTATAAATCTGGTCCCAGCCCTTGCATGTGAAGGCCACACGGACCATTAGAACGCACATGGAGACAGGTGTCAGACAGGCCCCTTATAGAGAAGCTTACCTCCTGTTCGGAAGTCCTGGTCATCCATCCTACAGGGCAGTTTGACCTCAGCCGCCACAGGAGGACCTGAGACAGGGAGGGCTGGGGGAACCAGAAGGAGAGTCCTCAGGGACTGGGAAGGAAAGGGAAGACTTCCAGGGGAAGGGGGGCATTTGAGCTGAGCTTTGAAGAGTGGGAAAGACTTAGACGTGGGTAGCCGAGGATGAGGGTACCTCATAAGAAGAGGCTTTTGGGCAAAGGCTTGGGTCAGGAAAGTTCTCCTAATGCTAAAGGGTTTGGCTAGTGCAGAAATGTAGTCAAGTGCTTCTCAGAATTCTCCACCATAGCTTCAAAGTAAGAAATAATACATTTTACTTGCAACATACACATATATAATATACAAATAAGTAAAATTTTCACAAAGTAGTTCCTACCCTACTACATGCAGTGCACTTTGATGTTTTCTATTCTAATTTATCCCATTTCATTACTTTTTTTTTTTTCAAATGCTGGTCATCACTCATTAAATTGACTTTCTGACCCATCAGTGAGCCACAACCTGAAAATCACAGATGCAGGGGCCATAGATCTGGAGGAGGAAGCAGGGGTGGGGCTATGAAGGGCCTTGCACACCAAACCATGGCATTTTTGTTTCATTGTTTTGTTTTTGACCACACCACAAGGCTTGCAGGACATTAGTTCCTCAACCAGGGATTGAACCAGGCCTGAAAGTGCCAAGTCTTAACCACTGGTTGTTATTGTTGTTCAGTCACTAAGTTGTGTCCGAGTCTTTGCAACCCATAGACTGCAGCACTCCAGGCCTCCCAGTCCCTCACTACCTCCCAGAGTTTGCTCAAGTTTATGTCCATTGAATCAGTGAATCATTCAACCACTGAACTGCCAGGAAATTCCCAAGCATTTGGACTTTTCACTGTAGATTCTTGATCCCAGAGGTCTTGTGTGGAGTTGTGATTTGAAAAGATTAATATATATCATCTATCGATCTTTAAAATGCACAGAGTATTTGACTCAGCAATTCCACTTCTAGGAATGCAGCCTGGAGAAACACCCACCAAGGAGTTCACAATAGGATGTTTGCTGCCACATTGCTTCTCACTGGAAAAACTGGAAGCAGCTAAATGTGGAATACTAGGCAGCCCTTCAAAAGAATGAGGTCAGTCTTTATTGTGGAGATATTTCCAGGACATTCTACAGGGGGACAATCAAATCATCTCAGAGCCAGATCTGTGGTTTGCTTTCAGTTTTGGATAAAACACACTTGTACATGTGTATGCACATTTACATGTGTGGATCACTTTTGGTGTGTTAATCACTCAGTCGTGTCCGACTCTTTGTGACCCCATGGATTGTAGCCCGCCAGGCTCCTCTGTCCATGGGATTTTCCAGGCAAGGATACTGGAGTGGGTTGCCATTTCCTTCTTCAGGGCATCTTCCCAACCCAGGGATCGAACCCAGGTCTCCCGCATTGCAGGCTGATGCTTTACCATCTGAGCTACTAAGGAAGCCCCATGGACGAATTTTTTAAAGATCTAAAAGGAAATTCAGACACATGCTACCACATGGATGAAGCTTGGTGACATTATGCTAGTGAAATAAGCCAATCACAAAAGGACAAATATGAGATTCTACATTTAGGAAGGACCAAGAGTAGTCAGTTTCATGGAGACAGAAAGTAGAATGGCTGGTTGGAGGGAGGATGTGGAGCTAGTGGTTTACAGGGAGAGTTTCAGTTTGGGAAGAAGTTCTGAAGATGAATGGTGGTGATGTTTGCATAACAATGTGAATCTACTTAATGCCACTGAATTGTATTCTTAAAATTGGTTAAAATGGTAAATTCTGTGTTATGTGTATCTTACCACATATACCAGAAATGATTTAGAAGGCCCTCCACCAGATCGTGGGCTTCCCTGGTGGCTCAGGTGATAAAGAATCTGCCTGCAATGCAGGTTAGATCTCTGGGTCAGGAAGGTCCCCTGAAGAAGGGAATAGATATCCATTCCAGTATTCTTGCCTGGAGAATCCATGGACAGAGGAGCCCAGTGGGCTATGGTCTGTGGGATTGCAAAAAAGCTGGACATGACTGAGCGACAAACACTTTCACTTCACTTTCACACCAGATCTAACCGCGATTGCCATGGGGAGGGGAGTGAACTAGGGTTAGTGTAGGTAAAGGGGGTCTTTCGCATTTTACTCTCTATGCTTCTGTATGGTTTGTAATTATTGAATAACTCATATGATTTTTTAAAAACCAATTAAATATATATATAAAGTTCAGGTGGGCATAGGAGGGTTAGAGGGTGGGGATGAGGGAGGGGTTAGGGTCCAGAGAGGCCTGGAGGAGCTGGAGGTTATGGCCAAAGGGGTTACCTTATCAAGATCAATCTTGAGTGCAGGAGGACCTCAAGTAGCTCACTGGATGAGGAGGTTATAATCCAGTGCAGTAAACATTAGGAGCTCTGGGACCCCAGAGAAGGTGCTTAATCTACCCAGAGTATCATGGAGGACTTCCTGGGAGAAGTGACTGGAGCTGGGAGCGAGGACTGTGAGCAACTCAGCTGAATAGTAGCAGCAGGAGACTTGGAGGCAGTACCCTCTGCAGCTCAGAGAATGGAATCCCAGGCACCCTGAGCTGGAGGCCGTTGGTCTCACCACCACAAGGGCACAGTTCCAGCCCTCTCCCCAGAGACTGGCAGGATGGGAGCAGTTATGCAAATCACCTCCTGGGTGTAGCACGAGCAGGGACTGGCAGCTGCAGAGCCTCCCTGGCCTGGGGGTGGGGGGAACAGATGCTTCACTCCCATCTCTTCCCCCAGCCCTCCTGCGAGAGCCCCCAACCCTAATCCCATCTGGTTCACATTGGTCCTGTTTGGTTCCAATTGTCTCACTTCCTGCTACCGTCTCTGGGCATCCCAACCCCCGCCCCCCTACCTGTGGGAACAGACCCCTCCCTCTCCCCTTCCCTCAGCCTGCAGTAAGGCCTGGTGGGGGGGAGGATCCCTGGGGGTGAGGGTCCCCAACAGCCTTGTGGATCTCCCCTTGACTCCTCTCATGAGCATGATGCGTCATGTCACTGTCCCCCAATGTGCCTTCTGCCCATTATTCTGGGGTGCCCTGGCTCTGATAATACCCACCTGCATCCTTCTAGGTCTGGCCCAGACTTCTAGAAACCCCACTGCCCCCTTTGCCTGGTCCGCCTCAGCTCCTGGGGAGGGGCATTCCATGTCAGGCACTGTGCTGGGCTCCTCTGTCCCCACATCCAGGCCTCTCTGGGAGGTCCTTGGTAAGAGTGAGCCAGAGAAGGTGTGTTTACCTGCAGGGCAAAATTCTCTCCAAAAGAAAATAGTCCCTAAAGCCACTTCCAGGGGTTGCTGAACCTCAGAGACAGAGCTGGATAGGGTGGGAGTGGGGGGTGTCAGGGAGCAAAGGGCTGATGATGACACAGGAGATGGGAAGAATGACTCCAGAAAGCAGGCACTTCAGACGCCCACTCACATGGAGCCAGCAAAGTTCTTTGGAGGGAATGTCAGAGAGTGCCCTCTGCTTCCACCTCTGGGATCAGCTGGAAGTGCAGCTCCCTCTCCAGTACCAAACCCAAACTGGGCCCTGGTGAAACATGCTCTGTAGCATTTGTCCCAAATGATCACTAATCAGTGACAAACTACGCTTACCATAAGCCAAGCCTCTAAAGTGTGTTAACTCCTTTACTCCTCTTGGCAACCCCGTGAAGGAGCTATCATTGTTGCCATCATCATCCCATTTTACAGATGAGAAAGTTGAGTTGGGAAGAGGTTAAGCAACTGGCCCAAGGTCACACAACTGGTAAACTGTGAAGCCAGGATCTGGGCCCCGGAGCCTCTTAATCTCAGAGGCCAGGAGGCCCCCAGAGAGCTGGTGTCTCTGATTCCATCACTACTTCCCCCGTGACTGGACCAGACTCTGGACTGGGAGCTCCTTCAGGGCAGGAAAAGGGGCTGAGGTTCCTCGATGCCTCCCCAACAGCTAGCACTAGACATCCATCCATTCATTCATTCATTCATTCCATAGAGTTTCGAGGCAGTCACATGCCAAAATTCCTCTGAGCCTCCAATCCCTCATCTCCAAAATTCAAATGTTGTCTGAGCAAAAGGGTCCAAATAAGATATTGCAGGTCATTAATGTAATTTTAAATCTTCTAGTAGCCACATTTAAAGGAGTGAAAAATGACAGGTGAAATTAATTTTAATAGCATATTTTCGAACCCAATATCTCCAAAATACTATCATTTTAGCATGCAATTGATCTAAAACTGATGAATGAGATATTTGACATGCTTTTGTGTGTACTGGCCCTGAGAAATCCTGTGTGTATCCCCTTTCTGCCACTCCTTCCTATGGACTTGCCATATATCATTGCTCAGTGGCCACGTGTGGTCGTCATACTGGGTAGCACATCTTCGGGCTGGAAGGTTCAATAGAGATCAGAGGACACCGGTGTGTTAGCCTCCAGCTCCCAGTTGGGTCCAAGGTGGGAACACGTCCAGGTGTGAGGGTGCCAGCCCCTTCCTTCCCTCGGCCTGGCAGAGCCTCCCCTTTCCTACTCCAGGAGGAGGGGAGGCCCCTCTGGGGTGCCCCTGGGGCTGAGACGCTGCTGGCTTTCCGGGAAGAAGCAGGAGGAGGAGGGGGAGAGCAGTCTGGGGCCTCGAGCAGGGAGCTGCTGCTGCCTGGCACGGGGACAGAGTTTGTTTGCACCTCTTTGAAGCCGGGAGATGAAAGCCGGGCCCACATGGCTGCTTTGATTTCCTCCTCTCTGGGCCCTCGCAGCTGTAACCGGGCCAGGCCCAGTCCTTCGCTGCACCCTGGGGAGCAGAAGCTGCCCCAGGCCAAGGGTGTTTCTCCCCTGGGTGGCTTGGAGTGTAAGCAGAGGAAGCACCCTCTGTCCTGGGGCATCTACCCTCCCATAGACAGACCCACCCAAGGGAAGA